TCTTAAACCCCATCATTGACAGTCTGCTACCTGTCCTGGAAAACAATCCCTCACTCTCACAGACGAGTTCTCGCTTACAGACAGCCCGCTAACCTGAAGCAAATACTTACTAACAGACACACACCACACCATAGATACATTTTCCCAGGAAATTACCCCTGCAACAAACCCCGTTGCCAACTCTGTCCACATATGCATACAAGTGACACCATCAGAGGACCTAATCACATAAGCCACAACATCAGAGGCTCATCCACCTGCACATCCACTAATGTGATATGCCATCAAGTGCCAGCAATGCCCCTCTGCCATGTATATTGGCCAGACTGGACAGTCTCTGGGCCAAAGAATAAATGGACACAAATCAGACATTGGGTTTGTAACACACACAGACCTGTAGGGGAACATTTTAACCTCCCTGAACATTCAATGATGGATTTAAAAGTAACCAGCCTTCTACAAAATAATTTTATCGCCCGATTATAGAGGGAGACATCTGAACTAGAGTTCATTTACAAGTTCAAAATGATCAACTTAGGCTTGAATAATGATCTTAACTATTTAATGCACTACAAAGGCAATTTCCTGCCTTTGATATTCGCATTTCCTCATCACGTGCTATGAATGAGACACATCCAGCCTGACTTAATTAGCTCCATTAACACTGGTTTTAAAATTGACTGGTAACTTATTTTGTTGTTATATAAATCCTGGATTCTGTAATTTCCACTCCAACTCATCTGAAGTAGATTTTACCCACATAAGCTCATGACCTAATAAATTTATTAGTCTCTAAGGTGAGACATAACTGCTCATAGTTTTTTGATAGATAAAGCAATAATAGCTCAAGGATACTAGGCAATCTTATTTTGATGTTCATTCGTGCCTTACTCTAAAGGGTTTTGAATTCTGTCCCCCTTCCAGGTATCGATATAAACTAGATGATCTCTATCCAATGATGAATGCATTGAAGTTTCGTGCAGAATCCTATAATGAATGGGCTTCTAAAGTAAATGAAGCTTTGGAGGCAAAAATTAACAATAAAAGAAGTACGTATTTTCCTTATTGTCTATTTGCTGCAGATGCAAAATATTGTCAGATTTCCAGTATATTTTGTGTCCCTCTAACATCTGAAACTCAACAACTTTGTCTTTGAAGCTTGTTCATGAATCATAGAGACATATTTGTATATTTATAATTTTTTCCATGACTCCCATGTCACAACTGAGTCCTCAAAGAGAAGCTAGCTTGTCAGAGGTTGTATTATATCCGTTTGGCAGGTAGGGAATGTTGTATGTCTGAGAGCAATTTTTAAAAAATTCTGTACCAACTTCATGGGGTTTTTTTAGAAATCATTCCATGTAATTATTGCATTGCAATATTCTTTATTACATAAAATCAATCATAAAAAACTAATTAAAGAACACTTTCTCTTGTAAAAGGCCTCATCAGTTTTAAGGCTTTGATAGAAGAATCAGAAATGAAAAAATTTCCAGATAACGATCTACTGCGACACCTCCGATTAGTTACTCAAGATGCAGACAAATGTGCGTCAGTTGCACAGCAACTTCTTAATGGCAAAAGACAAACAAGGTATGTGTTGCATTTATTTCAAATTATTGAGGGGAAAATTTGGAAAAGGCACTTGTTTTCTTTTGGATTTCCGAATTATAGCAATTCCTTTGGTTTCCTAAGAAGATGATCTATTTTTGGGGTCTGTTATTTCCATGCTTGTGATCTATCAAATACCCTGCACTTTTTAGTTTCTAAAGGCCACCTGTTCCAATTTGAGACATCATTAAGTAAGATGTTATATAAAATAGTACTCTCCTTTCTGTTCTGGGTAATCCATTGGACTTAAAGTGTTTTTTATTTTCCTGAGAAGAAAGTTGTTTAATCTTTGTGTAGTTTCCCTATGAGTGCTGTATGATAGGTGTGCCTACATCCCTGCACTGCTGATCTGATACCTTTGGTATCTTTGTCTGTTGGGTCTGCAAATACAGGGATTCTTTATGCTGTGCCTTGAGATTTGTGCTTGCACGTGAGCTAACTGTTGTTTTCTTCTCAACCACCATTGGTTACAGACTTTAGCTGACCTTTAGTGGATCATTAATTCTTTTTCATTTCTTAAATTTTAGCTTCTTTGGAAACTTTTTAGCTTTCTTCTGTTTATTTGGCCACTGCCTAAGAAAGAATGAAAATGGAAAAACATTGATTTTTCTCGTGTTGACCCCAAGTGGGGGAGCCCTCTGGACAAGGGTATGCCTAGCTCTCTAAGCTTCCAGAAGTGTCGCACTTGCAATGAGGCGACCCCACTTATGGAAAAGTACTCTGAGTGCATCTGCTGCTTTGGTGCACGTTTCCTCTGCAAACAGCACTGACTAAGATTCTGCAAGGTCAGAGAGCTCTGTCAGAAAGTAATCTCTCCGGACACAGCTATCTGACTCCAGTCCACTAGTGGGCCTTAATTTTGCTCTCAACCTTGAACTTTGAAAGACTATGGTCAGAGAAACAGTCTGGAGACTCCTCTGATAAATTGAAGAATAGAGCAGGAGGTCTCTTCAGTGAGTCCAGAGATAATTGAAAGCAATCACCATCTTGCTTGGGATCCCTGGCACCACGAACACTGAGGTCTATATCTGGTACTACTGTTAGTAGTACCAGACACTTCGGGCACAGGCACTAAATCTTCGTTATTGAGAGATCAGGGCAAATGTTCTAAGCTACTCCCAGTATGAGAGTCGACATCAATACCACCAGCAATTGGCATATCTAACACTGGAGAGACTGGAACAGGCGAAGTCCATGTGTTGGCCAGTACCACCTCCAGTGCTTGGATTCTTGGTACTGGAGCAATTCCATCCAAGCTGTGACCTAGATGTGTTATGGGTACCTGATTCTCTGTCTCTTGGCACTGACAGTGCTAAGCAAGAACCAGCCATGAGGTATTTCCCAACAATTGTACCATTCCCTTCCACTGTCAAGTGAACCAGCACAAGTTTCACAATGTTCCTCCCAAGCCCCATATGGACCCACTACCTAATTTTCCTTTAAGCTGCGTGGCCACACAGGTGCCTTTTAAGTGTTGCACAGGCACTCAGAGCTGTGGCAGGAAGAGATGCCTCTTTCCCAGTGTTCGACTGGCTGAGGCCATTGGAGAGGCACCCCTCCCCCAGCCCAGCCAGAGGAGAGGCACCTATCTCGTAGTCCCAGACTTGCTGTGGCAGGAAAAGATGCCTTCTCTCCATCCCATCACCCAAGTTCTGGTGCTGATGTAGGAAGAGAGAGCTGTGGGGGAGTCCTCTCTCCCTGGTATAGCCCTGGAACAACCTGCACCCCAAACACCTTATCTCTGGTCCTACCCAATGCCCCTCACCTGCAGCCAAAGCTTCACCCGTTGCACTTCAAACCCCTGCCCCATCCTTGACCTCCACTCCTCACTCTGAACCCGAGCCCCACATGCCACATGAATTGTGATATGTGCACTAATACAGAGGTGATATGTCACACATCCCCTCCATATTGGCGCACATAACAAAATGCATTCTACAGATGCGTGGCAAAAATTAGAGGGAACGGTGCCCATTACCACCATCTTGATACAACCAATTTTGGATACCTCCATGAGGTCCTATATCATCACAGTGCATTTACAGCCTACCTCAAGGAAACTATGCATCTTCCAGGAAGACTGTAGGTGTCTAGGTGCCCCTGCACTTACAAATGGAACATTTTAGCAGCAGTACCCTCCCTCCCCCCGGAGTGCGGGTGCACACACATGGCAATGCCTGTGACGCAGCAAGTGTGCTGATGCAGGAGCACCATTAACCGTCCCCTCAGTTCCTATTCCTCCGCTCCCAGCTTGGTTTGAACACAGCAGTACTCCATGTTTGAATTAGAGAAGTGTTAGTTCTTAGCAGTAGAATTTAAGTAATCTATTCACGGTTTCCCCCCACCCCCATTAGTGTTAGCTTAAAAATGAAAAAGAGGTTCTTTCTCTCTAGTTATTCTAGTGTTAGAAACATAGAATCACAAAGCTAGGAGACCTTAGGAGGTCATCAAGTTCAGCCCCCTACCCAAAGCAAGACCGATCCCAACTAAATCAATTGAGCCAGGGCTTTGTCAAGCCAAGACTTAAAAACCTCTAGGGATGGAAATTCCACCACCTCCCTAGGGAATCCATCCCAGTGCTTCATCACCCTCCCAGTAAAATAGTTTTTCCTAATATCCAACCTAGACCTCCCCCACTGTAACTTGAGACCATTGCTCCTTTTTCTGCTATCTGTCACTACTGAGAACAGCCTCTCTCCATCCTCTTTGGAATCTCCCTTCAGGAAGTTGAACGCTGCTATCAAATTCCCCCTCACTCCTCTCTTCTGCAGACTAAATAAACCCAAATCCCTCAGCCTCTCCTCATAGGTCATGCACGCCAGTCCCCTAATCGTTTTGGTCGCCTTCCGCTGGACCCTCTCCAATGTGTCCACATCCTTTCTATAGTGGGGGGCCCAGAACTGGACACGATCCTCCAGATGTGGTCTCATCAGAGCTGAATAAAGGGGAATAATCACTTCTCCTTTGAGGAAGTGGGTCTGGCCCACGAAAGCTCATCATCTAATAAACCATCTTGTTAGTCTTTAAAGTGCTACATAGTCCTGTATTTTGTTTCAGCTACTCCAGACGGCTACATTTCTATCACTATTCTCCTTTGAGAGACGTCCCTGGGGGTGCTCCACATCAGGTGTAGAGCATCCCAGCACTTCTGGACAGAGTTTTGCTAGCAGTGCCTCAGCGGGGGCCATGCATGTGCAGCACACGAACTGCCTGACTAGCTATGCGCATGCGCGGCCCCTCGCCTCCCTTCACTTCCTTTCTACCGTCCCCAGCTGCGGACGGAATGCAGCAGTGCTCTCTCACCTCAGCTCAGTTAGCTTAGTTAGTTAGTCCTCAGTTAGTTTTCTAGTTTAGTGTTTAGTCTTTCTTGAACATTGATTTACTGTTACTTTAAAAAAAAAAAAAAAAAAAAAAAAAGGAAAGCAGTGCAGGGTTTGAACGGCCACTTCAGCACTGAAGCCGGTATGAGTTCTCCCAGCTTCAAACGCTGCGTGCTCTGCAGCGGTGCCATGTCCACCTCCAATGGGCATGAGACCTGCCTCAAATGCTTGGGGAGTGCCCATTCACGCAAAGATTGCCCCCACTGTGCTAAAATGAGACCTAGGCCTCACAGAGATTTCACCTTAAAGTGAAATTGCTCCATGTTGACAGGAAATGCCTCAATCTCTAAGCCCTCTAAAAGAAGGGCAAGTTCTTTACCTCAGCAACCATGTCCACCTCCAATGGGCATGAGACCTGCCTCAAATGCTTGGGGAGTGCCCATTCACGCAAAGATTGCCCCCACTGTGCTAAAATGAGACCTAGGCCTCACAGAGATTTCACCTTAAAGTGAAATTGCTCCATGTTGACAGGAAATGCCTCAATCTCTAAGCCCTCTAAAAGAAGGGCAAGTTCTTTACCTCAGCAACCGGCGAACAGCGTAGTAAGCCTGAAAGCACTTCAAACTGTGCACCGATTGAGGAAAAGTGCCTCTCTGTGCAAGCCTCAGTAAACCCGGTAATGCTGACCCTAATGACAGCTACACCGGTACCTGAGCCACTCACAATGGCACCCAGTGAAGGGATAGAGCACTCTCTGAACGCTGCCCCCTGTCCTCAACAGTTAGGGGCTACAGCTTTCCCTCTCACCTCTGAGGTAAATATGGGTTCTTCTCAGCTAGCGCAGAACTCCATGTCACAAACTCCTCTTGTCACCTACAAGGAGAGTAAAGGCTTGTGCATCAATTCAACCCTTTACTCTCCTATGTTGAGTGAACATAGATATATTCAGTCACTTCTCTCTGATGACTCAGATCCTCAATCCACCCTCTCACAAGAAGAGAAGGAGGAATGTGAAGTGTTCTCACCGGAGCGCCCCTTCCCCCAACCTCAAGGGGCACTGGGGACGCACAGTTACATGCCATCAGACCTCCTCAGAGCGTATATGGCCCTGTGGGCTCATATGTTTGGATGGCCCCTCCAGTGGCATACCCCCCACAGTGGCAAATGTGGAACCATCATCCACATCAGTGCAAAAAGAGATTGTGTAAAACTAAACACATACAGAAGCCACTCCTGCGCTTCATTGAATCTCCTCACAGAGACATGAGGAGTGATAATGACAGCCAATACTCTCCCAGATGGGCCACAGGGTCTCTGGCTCACAGGTCATCATTAGCAGACATGGGAGAAGCGATGCTACCTCCCACTGGGAGTACTTCAGAAGACGTAACCTCTTTCCAAGATTTATTTAAACTTGTAGCGCAAGACCTCGACATACCAGTGGAAGAGGTATAAGATGCTCCTCACAACCTCACTAACATCCTACAGTCCAGCTCATTTTCAAAAATTGCTCTCCTATCAATCCAGCCATTCTCCAACCTGCAAAAAATTTATGGCAAACACCTGCCTCAATTCCCCCTACTAGTAGAAAGGTGGATCGAAAACACTTTGTGCCACCCAAAGACTCAGAGTTTCTCTTCACACATCCCGCCCCTAACTCTCTGGTGGTGGACGCTGCACAACAGAGAAACAAGCAACAAAATCGCTCAACCCCATCCGATAAGGAGAACAAAAGGCTTAGATGCCTTTGGCAAGAGAGTGTATGCGTCTGCTACAATCCAATTGAGGGTGGTAAGCTATTCAGCCCTTCTCAGTAAATGTGACTACAACAATTATATACAAATGAATTCATTTATTGATGATTTGCCAGACAGTAAAAAAGGGCACTTTTAGGCCATTGTCTCTGAGGGCCAGGCAATTTCGTGGACAGCGTTCCAGGCGGCTCTTGATGCAGCATACACAGCCAGTAGAGCATTGGCTACAGCGGTTACTATGCACAGAGCTGCTTGGTACAACTCCTCGGCCTTCCTGAGGCCAATTCAGACCGCTGTAGAAGATCTGCCTTTTGAGGATAACAGTCTCTTCTCCTCAAAGACCAATGAGCTTCTTCAGGCCATGAAAGACTCCAGGGCCATCCTTCAAACTTTGGGTATTCAGGCCCCTACAACGAGATCCAGACAATATAGGTATCAGCCGTACCACAGGCCAAGATACCAGCAGCCCCCCTTCCAGTACCACAGACAGGAACAACACCCTTAACAACAGCGGGGTTGGAACAGGCAGGAGAGGAGATGGTCTCAATCCAATATCCCCAACCTCCAGGGACAATCCAATAAGCATATTTGAGAATATAGTTAAGAGATCGAAAACCAGATCGCCATTTCTAGCAAATCAAAACCCTCTTCTAGTTTCATTTACTCCCCTTCCTCCACTAATTGTAATTTATTACCTCAGATAAATGGATACTTCAAACTATCTCCCAGGGATACACCATCCCCTTTCTTTCCCCTCACCCTCCAACCCCGTCCCTCTTTAGGGACCCATCTCATGAGATCATCATACGACAAGAGATAGGTCACCTGTTACATATAGGAGCCATAGAACCTGTCCTATCTCAATTCCACAGAACAGGGTTCTATTCTCACTATTTTCTAATCCTAAAGAGGCCTGGTGGGTGGAGACCTATCCTGGACCTCAGATACCAAAATAGCTTCATAAAGAAACAACGGTTTAAGATGGTTACTCTAAATACAATCATCCCAGCTCTGGAGCTGGGTGATTGGTTTTCCTCTCTTGACTCGTAAGATGCCTCTTTTCATGTTTCTGTCACACCTTCTCATAAATGTTTTCTCCGTTTTACTTTAGGTGCACACCATTTTCAGTACACAATCCTGCCCTTTGAACTCTCTATAGCTCTGAGAGTTTTCTCCAAGATCCTAGTGGCAGTCACTGCCCACCTAAGGAGACAAAGGATTACTATATATCCCTACCTGGACGACTGCCTAGTAAAAGCAAGGTCCAGACGGGAGTGCCACCAGCATACTCACATGGTGCTAGACTGCTTCCACTCTTTAGGGCTCATAGTGAACCACCCCAAATCGATGTTTTCTCCCTCACAGACCATCCAATTTATTGGGGCACACCTCAATTCTGTTACAGCCAGAGCTTCCCTCCCTCCCGACAGCGCTTCGCACATTGGGCACTTGGCATTATCCCTCCAGGACGTGCCTATAGTTACCGCTTTCGACTGCCTCCGATTGTTAGGCCATATGGCTTCCTGCAACCCTGTGGTTCCCAATGCGAGGCTATTTATGAGGTGTCTCCAAGGCTGGCTCCTAATGCAGCACAGACCAAACATTCATTCACTGACAAAGAGGCTAACTATGCCCTCATCAGTCAAAGCATCACTGAAATGGTGGACAGAGGTATCCAGTCTAACTACAGGCACACCCTTCCAATCCATGGAGCCCTCAGTGATCATCACCACGGTCACCTCGCTCACAGGCTGGGGCACTCACATAGAAGGGAGAACAGTTCAAGGACTGTGGTCCCCTACAGAACGTGCCCTGCACATAAATATCTTGGAGCTCAAGGCTGTTCGACTAGTGTGTCAAAAGCTGCTCCCTCAGGCGACAGGTATACATGTCCATGTCTTCACAGACAACACGGCGTGCATGTTTTATGTAAACCGTCAAGGTGGAGCACGGTCACAGCCCCTATGCAGAGAAGCCATAGCACTTTGGAACTGGGCAATAGCACGGGATATCCAGTTATCCGCATGCCATATACCTGGGGCTCTCAACACAAGAGCAGACGTGCTAAACAGCGCCCTTCTCCAGGAGCACAAATGGTAGATGGACCATACAATCTTGCGAGAAATATTCAGCCAATGGGGCCACCCTTGCATAGGCCACCAGATCCAACAGAAAATGCAAGATGTATTGCTCCAGAGCGGGCATGGGCAAACACTCCCTAGGAGATGTTCTGACTCTCTCATGGAATGCACACCTACTATACGCATTCCCTCTATTTCCCCTCCTGAACAGAGTCATCATAAAGATAAGGAGGGACAAAGCGAAGATCATCCTCATAGCCCCGTTCTGGCCTCGAGAGCCTTGGTTCCCTCTGTTACTCTGGATGACACAATGCCATCCAATCACATTACCACAAGTTCCTTACCTTCTCTATCACCCGCAAATCAGCACGCCTCACCCTCAACTCTCAATACTCCATTTAAAAGCATGGCACCTCAATGGTTCACTGGCATAAAGCTCCAGTGCTCCCAACAAGTCCAGGAAGTTCTTCTGCACAGCAGAGCTCCTGCGACAAGAAAAACATATATCACCAAATGGACACGATTTACACACTGGCTACATCTAGACTACGTCCCTTTTTCGTAAAAGGGATGTAAATTAGACGCATTGCAATTGCTAATGAAGCGGGGATTTAACAACAACCTTATCATCTTTGAGTGCTCCTTCAGCATCTAGATCAGTCATGTCAAGCATGCGGCCCGATCAGATATTTTTGCGGCCCACGACTACATCTTTATAAATTATCTAAGTGCGGCCTGCCTGGTTACATTGTTTATAACAGGGGTGGTCAACCTGCGGCTCTTGAGCCGCATGCGGCTCTTTGATTAAAGAAATGCGGCTCCTGCTGATTCTGAGCTGCACTCCTGAACTGCTCAGAGCCAGCTGCTCTGTGCACACGCCCAAGGTCCTGGAGAGAGAAGGCCGTGGCGGCAGCTCCAGGACCTAGGCATTAGGTTAGAGCAGGGGGTGGGAGTGGGGGCTGGAAGTGCCTGGCTCGGAGAAGAGAGGAGGTAGATTGGATTTAAGCAGGGGGAGGGGAGGGTTAAAGCACCTTAAACTCAAAACTTAAAAGCCACTTAAAAGCCACTTACATTGTCAAGTTTTAAACTTACTCCATTTGCTATGCAATTTTTAGGGAATTAGTCTCCCATTTAAACCAATGAATAATTTAATAACAGAGAAATAGGAAATCTCAGCAGGGTATGCTGATGAAAGTGGAACATAAGTAATATTAGCTGGCATGTTCTGAAGTAGCATCAAATTGGCAACATGTAAGTTTTCTTTCATAGTCTCTTAAGCACAATCAGACCTAGTTAATGTCTGCTGGAATGCAGAAATGCTGTCAGAAATGTTGTATAAAGATACCTACAAACGGCTGATTGAATGTCATCTTTTAAAGTGTAAATTAAAATGTGGAGATTTCAAAACAGGAGTCTTGAAAGTTTCAAAAGTGACTAAGTGATTTAGGAGTATAGGATCTATTAAGGATTTATGGTCCTCCTCGTGGAAATTGATGTAGGCAAGACCAGAGGACCACAAACCAGAGTAGCCATTGTGGGGTGAGTTGTTTCTCTATGGCTAGTCTGTAGTACTTCCTTGTGTGAACATTGTATTGAAGAATAGAAGTCACTTTATTTCTGAATAATTTGCATGCTTCCAAAACAGAGAAAACATCATATTTATTCTGAAATAATATAGCCACATGAAGAGTGGAATACTAGATCCACGTGCTGGATTGTTTTTTCTGCAATAGCTATTCTGGTCAGTTTTACACATA